ACGTTTTGGATCGCAGCCCTGAAAGGTAAAATCCCCGCTCCGGGTGAGTATACCTGCTGCGTGCTATTAGAGCCTCGACGCTGCTCAAGAGATTTGTTGCGCTCGGAGGCCATAACTTCCGAACGGCTGCGAATTTCGATTTAAAACGTTGGGAACATATTCTTACAATGTTAAATAAACATTTTATGCAAAAAAAAAAAATTCGATTTTTTGAAAGTTCTAATTGGATTTCCCCCCTTAAAGCCGTCAAGGTGAAAGACAGGCCCACGTAATCGCTCGCGTTAGCGGAATTAACGGCGTAAGAATAGATTTCGCGGAACGCGTTTTCTAAATGTTTAGCGATGTCGGTGCCTTCGACGGGTGGGAGAATCTTTATACTAGCCTCTCGTCCTAATATATGGAAATTTCTAAACTGCTCGTGAGGAACTTCTTCTTCTTCTTCTTCTTCTTTTTCTTCTTCCTCCATAGACTCCTCTCGCGCCAGTTCCATTTCGAAGGAGAGAGCGCGTTCACGTGTGCCTTCTTGTTGTATTGTAAAAGAGTGATGCAAAATAATTAGAAACGCGAGCTCTGTAAAATATTTAATATTTTAAGCTATCTTATAACTTACGTTCGAATTTACTCTTCCGGCGTTAAATTAAAATACGATAATTCCTGACTAGAACCCCATACTGGGGAATCGGGAAAAATTCGTAATTTCGGGAGGATTTCAACGTTACCCTCCCACAGTATTCTCTCCCATTCCTCTTCTCTTTCCGCATCGGGAATATGTGGCATACAATCTTCCCCTTCGTCGGAATGGTGGCTAACCGGCGAGTAATTCGGTTCTAATTTCATTTACAATTAATTTGGATTAAATTCGAACGTAAATAAAAATAAACATCTAGAGAATTCCCCGTGGGTTCGCACGCAAAAATTCTTACCTGATATTGCCGAAGAAAGCGGCTCTCGATAGCGGCGAACGTTTTCACCATTGCCCCCGGCATTGTCGTCATCGTCACGTTCCTCTCCCTCGTTACTCTCCTCGACGCTGTCTTCGTCGATATTGACGTCGTTGCCGGCATCACCGTCGCCGCCGTCGGCGTTGTCTGCACCGGCAGCGGCGGCGTCTAGCGTTTCGCTAACGCCGGTATCATTTTCGCTGTTTTCTGAAAGTAAAATTATACTTATATCGCATGAATCGATTTTAACATGACACTTTTGTTATTTTATAAATATTTATGTTGCCTTACCTGTGGGTTCAGCAGCGACGACGACGGTCTCGTTCACAAGCGTTTCCACTGCAGATGCTGTCGGAATCCTATAAGTCGGCTTCCGATGTCTGAGCATTATTACAGCCTAAAAATTATTTTGGTGTTAGATAATTTACTCGATAAAGCAGCTTAAATCCGGTACTCCTCTCTCTCTGGATTTGTACTTACGCGAAGTTGCCTGACTCGAGTAAGGCGTTTACGACTCTGTGGAAGAAGCTCAAGCGCCTCCTCGCCACTGCTATCGACTCGAGACTCGGGTACGAGACTCGGACTTATGAAACGATAAAAACAATAATTATTCTAAAAATTCGCGTAAATTACTTAGTTTTAGTTTTTGCTATAAAATTGATATGATTTAACTTACCCGTTGTAAGATATCGCGTCGGCGATAATACCTCACACGTCCTCGACGTTCTCCTCAAAATCTCGTCGAAATATCAGAATTTCTCTGATTATTTTCATTAATTTCGGATCACCCCGAAATTTCTCGCACTTACACAAAAGCGCTAGCAGCGTGCTGCTACAAACGCATGCGAAAGAATAAAATAAAATATAATTTTCTGCGTCATCGGCAGAAATACGCGTCAAATATCGAACGCTATCGATATTCGCGCCGGTGTTTGAAGCCGTAACGATAAACTCGCGCACTAATGTACCCACTCGCGACATTGTAACGTGTCTCAAGGCAGAAAACTGACGGTAGAAAATGCGAAACTGGAGTTTTCTCCTCGCATATATACCCTCAAAATCTTACTTCTCTCTCTCTCTCCTAGGATAAAACGGTTCTCCTAGAAAGAAAGAAGGGCGGATTTTTTTAAATTTATTAGGGTTTATCGTCGAAAACACGCTCGGTAAATATTAAGGTAAATATTGAGGTAAATAGTAAGACCCGACGGATTAAGCGTTTTCAAAGTTGTTTTTCTATCGGACGTGCGAGAATGCGTGACCATTCGCCGACAAAAGAATGATACGACGCGTATGTAACGGTGCACTTCCTCTAGGAAAATCACTCTTTTTGTTAAAAGTAAATTCCGATCGTATCTTTAATCGTAATCCTCGCGCTGACTCAGAAGACGCTGGCTGAAATACCTTTGGCTATTTTTCGCTTATGCCGGCTATTACAATAGCCTACTAATTCGCGACATATTCCAAATATGCCTGTTTATATCTCGCTTTTTTATACGCTCCGCTTCATTAGAACGCGAGAATACTTGTTTTTTGACGCGTGTCTTTCGCCTCAGACGACACGAACACGGCGGCTGCACGGCGTCTGCACGCGCACCTGCCAGGCTCGCTTTTTTTTTCAAACCTAAACCCGGAAAACGTGACGAAACAATCAGGTACGTGGAAAAGCCTGAGACAAAAACGCGAGTGCCTAAACATACAAAAAGGAGAGTTTAAAAGCGTCCGTTAGAATATTGTCGACAGTTACGGCAACCGTTGCGTTTAAGAAAAAAAGAAAATGCAATAAGATGAAAATAAGCCTGAGAGAAGTGACATCGTGATGCCTAACATTCAAAGGACGCGGAATACCCGGTATAAAATATTATCGTTGTTCGCCATAAACTAGCGCGCTTAAAGTCCCCCTGCATTTGTCCCCCGACGTTAGAAAATTCCAGAAAAACACTTCCTAGAAAAGCGCATCAGAGAAACGTAACTGAAAAATGTTATTAAATAAACATTTTTGGTACGCGTATACTACCTCCCTCTATGCATTTTTCGCACTCTCGAGCCTTATAAAACCGCTTTTGATCGCTCGCGGATTTCATACAGTCGGTAGTGCTCCGATAGTCACGTTTCGCTGTTACAAAAAGTCGACGTTTGTTAAAATTATTCACGGATTATTCAAGGAGCGAGTGTCGTGAGAAATATAATGACCGCTAACAAGCAGAATATCGAGAAGGACGGATGTAATAACACCTGCAGTGACATCACAAGTGGTCGAAACTTTAATCGAAAAGGTAACATGTTACTGTCTACAACATACACTTTAAACAATTCGGATACGAAGAGGGTGCAAGTGGGACTGCAAGCAAACGACGCCGGGAGGTACGAAGCGACGATAAAACTAATCGGAAATTCGACGGATTATATCTACCTCGAACTCAAAGCATGGCAGAAGTTTCAAGAGGAATTTGACCTCGTGCATGCTTACTTACGCGGGGTTGATAAAATTACGCCACAACCCTTAATCCTAAAGAACGCGAGTATTTATTTCACCACCACTTACAGCTCAAGAGCAATAATGGTAACGCGTAATCACGAAGCGGAAGAAGAGAAAGCTACGACGGCGGATTCCGCGACAGCGACGAAGCCACCGAAGAAGAAACACAAGACCTACTCGCCATCGATAGCGATGCAGAAAATCACGTTCGAAGGCTTCCAAAGTATTGCGAGTTGCATTGATGCGCGGCGAAAACAGCTATATTCGCTAACTAATCTCGTCAACGATTGCGTCGAATTTCTCATTGTGGAAATCGAACTACATTTACCCAACCGCTATTTAGATAAGGACATGGTGAAAAACACGCTCTGGAATAATCTCAAGGAGATCAAGAAAAATGTCCAGCAGCATAGTTGCTGAACTTTGATTTTCTGTATTTTGACATTCTCTTTCTGGAGCTAACTTCGTTTCATCTCCACGAAATTGTACGAAGAATAATAAAAAATCAAGCGATGCAACTCGCGACAAATTCATAATATTATGAAACCTCATATGTAATTATAAATAAATAGCGAATTTTATCCTTTAACATGTATATTTCTTTTCTTTTCCTCAAAAACGTCTCCTTCTTTTATCCATACCTATATTCTTCGATAAACTCCAGAAATTTCCACGATGCTGACGCACGC